AAATATTTTATTTTATTTATTTGAGAGAGAGAATGAGATAGAGAGAGTACATGAGAGGGGGGAGGGTCAGAGGGAGAAGCAGACTCCCCGCTGAGCAGGGAGCCTGATGTGGGACTCGATCCCGGGACCCCAGGATCATGACCTGAGCCGAAGGCAGTCGCTTAGCCAACTGAGCCACCCAGGCACCCTAAAATATTTTAAAAGAAATCAAAAGATGAGCAGCTGGCTGGCTCAGTCAGGAGAGCATGTAACTCTTGACCTTGGGGTCACGAGTTCAAGCCCCATGTTGGGTGTAGACATTACTAAGAAAAACAAAATAACAACTAAAAACTAAAAAAAAGGGGGGGAAGAAATTAAAAGAAGTAAACAGAAAAAATATATTTATACAATTAAAAAGTATTTATCTACATACTTATAATTCCTGGGTCTCTTTATTTCTTCCTGTGGATTTGAGTTTCTGCTTGAGGTCAGTTTCTTTCATCGTAAAGGACTTCCTTTAGCATTCCCTAGAGAGCAGCTCTGCTAGCAATGAATTCTCAGCTTTTGTTCATCTGGGAGTGTCTTTATTTTGCTTTTGTTTTGAAATAGTTTTGTTGAATATGGAATTATTTGTTGACAGTTTTATTTTTCTCTTGGCAGCACTTTGAATCATTCGACTGTTTTCTGATCTTCACCATTTCTACAAAAAGTTAGCTGTTAATTGTACTTCTGTTCCCTTCTACGTGATGAGCTGTTTTCACTTCCTGCTTTCAAAGCCTTCTCTTTTATTTTATTCCAGCAGTTTGTCTATGATAGGTCTAGGTGTGGCTCTCTTTGTGTTTATCCTACTTGCAGTTCATTGAGCTTCTTGGATCTATAAATTAATGCCTTTCAAGAACTTTAGTAAGTTTGCAGCCATTATTTCTTCAACCATGTTGCAGCATCGATAGAAAACTAAACATGACCTCTCCGGCTCAGCCCCTCTCCCTGAGCCCCTCCAGGCTCTGTTACTGATTTGTCTCTCCACTGCTATCCCTGGGACATGCCACCCTGGTCAGTGACTGCCCAGGGAGAGAGGGGAGCAAAAGGGAGAAGTAGTCTCCACTCCCACGAGGCCGAGAAGGAAGAAAAGAACATCTCAGACTGGAGGCTGCCCAGGTCAGCCCTCTTCCATTCCCAACCTCCCCAGGATCCACCCCAGGTCTGAGGGCCCACAGAACATCCTTGGTCAGTGTTTGCCAAAGCGGTTCTACCGCTTTGATCAATTCGCTGTGATTCTATCATCTGGAGAGTTTAAGAAAAATATTGGTGCCTAGGACCCACTACTGATTTACCAGGCTAGAACATACAAAATTATTGGCCTTTACCCTACAAAAAATGGCATATGCTTATGGTTTAACCTAATAATGGTCTGGATTGGGGTCAGGTATCAATATTTTTTAAAAGCTCCCCAGATGATTGGAATGTACAGCTAAGTTTGAGAACTAGATTAGAAGAATAAATGAGACAGTAAACAGAATGAATGAACGAACCAATGGACACTGAGAAATGCCTGAATAATGGATACGTGAACGAGTGAGTGAATGAATAAAGGAATGTATGAATGGGTGAATGAAAGTGTAAATCAATGAACACATGATTGAATCAACCAAGACTGACTTGGTAAGAAGACAATTGGATGGATGGCAGATGGTTAGTGGACAGATGGAGAGATGAAATGATAAACGAATGGACAAAGAGTTGGAAATGGATGGAAGAACAGATCCTAAAGAGATGGATGGATGACAGGATAGAGAATGAAGAAGTGGATGGCCGAACAGAGGGATGAATGGGCACATGGAGGATGTACGGATGGATGTGATGGAAGGCAGAGAATTGCATGGACAAATGGAGGGATGAAGAGATGAATGCATGAGTTGGGTATAAGGATGGCTGAATGGATAGACGGATGGATGAGTAAATAAATCAATGGTTAGAAATTTGAATGGATGGGTGGTCAGATGGATGGTTGAAGGGTTGGCTGGCGAATGAGCGCACAAATAGTTGGATAGGTGGAGAGCGAGATGGACAGGTGAGTGGATGAATGGTTGGATTTTTTTTTTTTTATGTTTTAGATTTAAAAAAAATTTTTTTAAAGTAATCTCTACACCCAACGTGGGGCTCAAACTCACAACTCTGAGATCAAGGGTTGCTTGCTTCACCAACCAAGCCAGCCAGGTGCCCCTGGTTGGATGTTTAGATGGATGGATGAACATATGCTCGGATGGATATTTGGAGAGATTGATGGATGTTGAGATGGATGAATGGAGAGGCAGATGCATGGACGGGTGGAAAAACGGGCTGTATAGCGATTAAGTATGTAGCCAGACCACCTTGATTTGAATCCTCGTTCTGCCATTGATGGGCTGTGTGACCTTGGGCAATCTGCTTTATTTTAATTTGCCTGTTTCCTCATCTTTTCCAGAGGGAAGATAATAATAGTTCCCACCTCCTGGTATTTTTGTGAGGACTGAACAAGCTGATACACATAAATCCCAAGATCTGTGTCTGGGATATTCCTGGATTTATTGTGATGGGAGGATGGATGGACAGTTGACTGGATGGCTGAATGGACAGTGTATGATTGAATCAAGGAAGGAAGGAACCGGTGAGGGAGGTGAACGGAGTCACGGACATTCATGAGACACCCACAGGCATTTTATTAGGGGCTTAGAAGGGAGTCCTGTGGGACCTTTCCCTCTGTATTCCCAAGAGTTGTGGCCCTGGGAGTAGATCAGACTTGGACATAGGACAAGGTGATATCACCCTGGATCTCCAGCACGTCCACATTCTGGAAGGCCGAAAGGCGATGGGAAAAGTCGAAGAGGTGCTGGCTGTTGGCGTACACCTTGAAACGATCTATGCCACAGCGAATGGACAGCTGCAGAGAGAGGGCAGGCTTGAGGCCAGGGCCGGGACAGAGGCTTTGGAGGGAAGGGGGGTGGGAAGGGGACCCCAGACTCACATCAAAGAATTGCCCAGGACCAAATGGGTTGTAGGAGATCTTCCTGTCCTCGGACCCCCATGAACCATTCAGATAGCTGTTCCGAATCACGAGACCCTCGGTCAGACGAGGGTTAATGTGCAGAGCCAGGTCCCCTGAGGATCCCACCATGAAGTTGATGACAAAGCTGAAGGCAGAGAGGGACAGAGGTGGGAGTCAGATGAGGGGGTCAGTGCCTGGTTCTCCAAGGGAGAAGGGGATTGGGGCCCAGACCCCCGGGTCTGAGGGAGGGAGGGGGCTGAGGATTCCCACCTCAGTCTAGATTGTGTACCTCTTGCCCATGGGGGGTATGGAGCCCTTGATTATGATGGTTCTTCGGGCTGTAAGACCTCCTTGCAAACTCTTCCTAAATGGCACAGGCTGTAGGAAGAGAACATGAGGTCCTATTATCTCTCAGGTCACCAGAAGCCAGGCAGGGACAAATTTTCAGAGAGGGGTGCCCACTCCTAGGAAATGTCCCCAACCCCCATCCCCTCCCCGCTCCGGCCACCAACTCCATCCTCTCCCTACCTCCCAACCCAACACCCTCTGCCCACTCTATTTCCCACCCTCTCAGGGCCCCAGTGGTCAGGGCCCCCTACCCACCATCAGTTCCTGCTTCCCCACAAACTGCCTGCCACAGAGCCCTAAACTCCCACAGGACACTTTACCGGGTTGAAGATTGGGGGTCCCTCCATGGTCTGTGAAGTGAGGAAGGAGAGATATTAGTCTATAACATTCCACAAATATTTACGGCACACTGACTACATGTAGGCATATCTCTGGGTGCTGGATGGGTATGACTTGGGGGCCCAACCTCCTTGGCCCCCGCGCTTCTCTCCACCCCTCTCCCCCACCAAATGGCCCCACAACCCTCCCACTTAACAGGCAGCTGACTTGGCTATTGGTGGGTGTGTCCAGGACCCGACAGATGGATCGAAGGCAGAAATGGCGAGGGGGGCTGGGGGTCTTTCGGCTGCCCCAAGACCTCCTCATGCCACCAAACCCCCACCACGAGGAGAAACCCACCGCCCCTCAGCAGGTACTTACTGGGTACACTGGAGTTCCCGTGGATGTCTGTGGACACAAAGACAATGTGTGAAGGCAGGCAGGCAATGAGGGAGACCCCAAATTAGGGCTTGGAGGGTGTCAAGGATGCGTGCCCAGGGCAGCCCCACCACGCCCGTCCGAAGGAACTCGGGGGTCAAAGAGTGGCACCTGGTGGCTTATGAGTGGAGAAGAACTTGCCATGTTTAGGAAGTTGCCATGAACTCCAGTGAGCAGTGACACTCCACCCCTTTAGGGCAGGCCTGGTAAATTCTATTTACCTCCCTCATCCTGCTTCCGCCTGTCTGGGAGCCCTCATCCGCCCCCTCCTCCCCCTCAACCTGGCAGCTTCCATAAAACGGATACTCCCCAGAACATCCTCCCAGCCCACACCACAGATGCCCCTGCTCACCTCACCCCGTCAGGATTTGGCCCTCGCTCTTGGTGCCCAGCACTGGGGCAGTGAGCAGTCGTGCCTTTCCCCTGCCGGCCTCAGGCTCGCTCAAGTCTGCGTGTGTCTCTGTTCCTGTCTCTCAGTCTCTGTCTCTCCCTGTCTTTGTTCTGTTCTCTCTTGTCTGCACTTTCTCACAGGTGCGGGCTTGGAAGGCCTCCCCCGCCCTCGTAAGTTATATCCATTTGTTCTCTCGGTTCCCTCCTCTTCCCAGTGATCTCCTTGACTTCCATTTTAAGCCAGCGATTCTGAAGGCCCTTCCAAAATAGCCTTATTGTCGTTTTTCTTGTTCAAATGCATGGATGAAGTACCATGGTCAAAGGAACACCCACAGGCCCGTGGCTCCTCGCGGATGAAGACATTCCATTCTTGCTGGTCCCTCATCTGGGCACAGACCCCCGCCTGCCACTCACCAGCTCCATGACCTCGGGCAAGTTACTTAAGCTCTCTGCGCCTCAGTTCCCACATCTGTCCCAATGGGCCCGAGGATCATCGAGCGTGGGGGTCAGGGGGGCCTTACGGGTTGGGGAGTGTAGCGCCCGGCGGGAGGCTAGGGCTGCTGTGGCTGTTTTGGTGGCTGTTTGTTCACCGTGGCCCTGGGAGTGGGGTTTCTAGGTCGCCGGGGGCATGTCTGCTCCCAGCCATTTCCAGGGGAGTGTGGGCCGGTCCCCAGGCTCGCCCACAATTGTTGTTGTGCGCTTTTCTCTGGACAGCGCTTCCCACGGGTGTGGGTGGCATCTCGTTGTGATTCGAAGTGACTTTCTTGGTGACTAGCCATGTTAGGCAGTTGCTCGTGAACTTGCCTGTGGTTCCTGTGGCTTTTGTCCCTTCTTATCTTGGCTTCCTGACTCAGCTTACGGCTTTCCTCCTCCTCCTCCAGGAAGCCCTTCCCTTGGCCTCCCCAAACCTCGGGTCTGTCTCCCATCCCTGCCCTGACCGCTTGCAGCCAACACCATCTGGTGAAACGTCTTCCCAGTGGACGGGGTCGGTTGCCTCTGGGTCTGCGGCCCCTGGCACAGAGCAGGTGCTTGGGACACAGATGAATGTGGGCCTGGATTAAGGAAGGAAGCAGGGCGCATAAGAGAGGGAGACACCACACACCTGGCCTGGGCGCGGGTTGCCACCGATGAAGTTGATTGATTGAAGCTCCACATCCCCATCCACTTGCAGGTGAGTGACCATCTGTAGGGGCAGCCGGTGCCCGAACTCGTAGAAGGGATTTCCATTTACCACCACCTGGGGGGCAGGGGTAAGGTCAGAGTCAGCACCCAGGACCTTGGGAAGGCAGACACAGGAAGTAGGGAGCAACGATCATTTTAACTTGGACTCCAGTCTTGGAGGGGAGCTGGATAGCCACAGAATGGGGAATCTTGGAGTCCACAGGTCAGAGGTCAAGCCAGGGTCAAAAGTCAGCTCACAGACTGGCGGATGGAAGAGAACAGAGAATTTAGTCAGGATAGCGATCCAGAGAGGATCCAGTCTGAGTCCTGGTTTTGGCACCAAATGAGTTGGGCCTGAGTCTAGCTCTGATATGTGGGCTGTCTGACCTCAGTGATGACGTGTGGGCTGTCTGACCTCAGGGATGACGTGTGGGCTGTCTGACCTCAGGGAAGTCACTTTCCCTCCCTGAGCCTCTGTTTCCCCATCTGTAAAATGGAGGCTGGCTCTGGGATTGTTGGGAACATTAAAACCCAGCCAGGCATGTCAAAGGTGTTCTGGAAATCCTCTGTAGAGCCTTGCCTAATTATCTTTTCTTTTTCTTTTTTAAGATTTCATTTATTTATTTGAGAGAAATAGAGAGAGAAAGCATGGGCAGGGGCAGAGGAGACGGAGAAGAAGACTCCCCGCTGAGCAGGGAGCCCGACGCGGGGCTCGATCCCAGGACCCCGGGATCATGACCTGAGCCAAAGGCAGACGCTTAACCGACTGAGCCACCCAGGCGCCCCTCAGCTCAGGTCTCGATCTCAGGGTTGTGAGTTCAAGCCCTGCTCTGGGATCCATGCAGTAAAATAAAATAAATAAATAATAATAATAAAATAAAGACACAGGAAGAGATCCAGGCCAAGAGAAGTCAGGATAAAGGCCACCCCTGGGGATAAGGGGACTGGAAGGGACATGAAGGGTTTCTGGGGCTGGAGGGCTTGCTTCTGGACCTAGGTGCTGGTTCCACAGGTGTGTGTTCTCTCCATGGAGAACCAGTGAGCTGGGTACACATGACCCACACTCTTCAATAACCCATTAAAAAAAAAATGCTTGCATAATAGTAATCAATCACAACGTGTGGGCCTTATCCGCGGCCTGGTTCCAAGTGTAGAAACGTTAAGGTGTTTATGAGGTGGTCGGAACTCTGACTGGATGTGGGGGCGCTGAGGAAGAACGGTCAGTGTTTTCCGTGGGCCAATGGCATCATGTGCTCCCGAAACTCGAGATATTTCTGAACAACACGATATCCGGGATCAGCGCGCACATCCTATGCAAGGGGAAGGGTGAGGGCAAAGGGACCCAGAGCTGGCCAAGGAGACCAGGGGGTGGCCGTGCCCTCTCTTCCTTCTGTGTGTGTTCAGAGTTCACCAGAAGAAACAGCAAAAATAGGGGTGCCTGGGTGGTTCAGGTCATGATCCCAGCCAGGGTCCCGGGATCTAGCTCCCCCCGTCTGGCTCCTTGCTCATCGGGGAGCCTGCTTCTCCTGCTCGCTCTGCCCTTCCCCCACGGCTCACGCGCGCGCGCGCGCGCGTGTGTGTGTGTGTGCGCGCTCGCGCTCTCTCTCTCTCCCAAATAAATAAATAAAACCTTTAAAAAAATAGCAAAAATATGCATTTTGCAAGAACACGGAGGAACAAGGTGAGACACATGAAACATTAGAAAGCTATCCCCCGTGGAGGAATAGGAATGAGAAACAAGAGGAAAAAGAATGTTTTTTAGGAGAAAAATGTTTTACTAGGCAGGAAGGAAGGAAGGAAGGAAAAGAGAAAAGTGAGGTAGGAAGGGTGGTGGGGAGAGGGAAGGCGGAGGAGGGAGGAGGGGCCAGGAGGAGGGGCAGGGACAGATGGAAGAAAGGAAGGGGGGAGGGAGGAGGGGAGGCCCCGCCCCCGAGTTCCGACCTTGTAGTGCTCCGCCTGGACCATGAACACCAGCTCGAAGGCCGCGCCCTTGCGGAAGGGCATGCTCCGCTTCTTCTCCTCGCTGCCCCACTTGCCGCCCTGTTGCGAGTTGAAGACCACCTTGTCCCAGCCATCAAAGCGGGGATTGAAGTGGAAGGCAATGTCCGCTCCACAGTGCTGCCCCACCACGAAGTTCACGGAGAACCTGTAGGGACAGGAAGGGCTGTTCCCCCTGGCCCCACCTGCCCGAGCATGGGGCCCTCCTCCGGGAAGCCCTCCCTGACCTACCCTGTTCCAAGGTCCTGGAACACGTCCCTGAAACTGGGCGGGAGGGGGTTGGGGGACGAAGACAAAATGGGACAACACACTTGGCCACTGTTGCCACTAGAGAGGAGGGGGTGGGCAGTGCCCCTGAAGTTCAGGAGGCAGATTCCCTCGGCAACGCATTCCCTCTCTCCCTTTCCTTACCAGGCCACCGCACGGCCCCCGCCCCCAGCCTCTCCCAACTTGGCAACTGGGACTCCTGCATTTCCTCCTTCACCATGGGCCAGACGCTGTCCTAGGAACCCTACATATATCTGTTAAGGTCTCTCTGCTGCCACCCTGACCCCCCAGGCCACTCCCCACCTGCAGCCAGGGGGACCCAATGAACAGCCAAGTCAGAGCACCACCCACACCTCCCCTCATGCCAGCATCCCTGAAGTTATTCTAACTGGGCAAACACACACCTGCCTCAGGGCCTTTGTACGGCTGTTCTTGCTGCTGGTCTCTACTCCCAGGCTCCCTCCCCCGCTCCTTTGAGTCTTTGCGGAAGTGTTCCCTTCCCAGAGAGGCCTTCCCCCGCTACTCTATTTAGGGACAATGCCACGCCCCTCTCCCCCCCCACATCCATTCCCCATCTCCTTTCCCTGTTTATTTGTCTCCATAGCACTTAGCACCACTGGACCCTGCACATTTGATTTTTATCTTTCTTCTCTCCTCTCTACTAGGATGTCAGCTCCATGTGAGCAGAGATCTTGGTCCTGGGGACTGCTCTGTCCCCAGTGGCTAGGCACATAGTGAGCATTCAGTGAGAAAAAAAAAAAAAAAAAAACCACGATGAATAAAGAAACAACAGTGCCAGGGTGCTGGGTGGCTCAGTCGTTAAGCATCTGCCTTCGGCTCAGGTCATGATCCCAGGGTCCTGGGATCAAGCCCCGCATCAGGCTCCGGTCTCAGCCCGGAATCTGCTTCTCCCTCTGCCCCTCCCCCTGCTTGTGCTCTATCTTTCTCTCTCAAATAAATAAAATATTTTTTTAAACCTTTTTTTAAAAAAAGATTTTATTTATTTATTTGACAGAGAGAAACGGAACGCAAGCAGGGAGAGTGGGAGAGGGAGAAGCAGGCTTCCCGCCGAGCAAGGAGCCCGATGTGGGGCTCGATCCCAGGACCCCGGGATCATGACCTGAGCCGAAGGCAGACACTTAACGACTGAGCCACCCAGGCGCCCCTCAAATAAATAAAATCTTAAAAAAAAGAAAGAAAGAAAGAAAAAGAAACAAAACAAAAACCCCCAACAGTGCCTTGAGGTCAGTTCCATTGTCATCACCATCTTAAGGCCATAAAAAAATGCTAAGACTTATTTTAATGCTTCCTTTCCAGTTCTCCATGTTTTACACATTGAATCCTCAAAGCAATCCCATCTTACAGATGGGAAAAGAAAGCACAGAGAGGTTTCCCAGTCACACAGTTGGGCAGTCACAGAGCTGGCCGGCTCTGAGCCTGTGGTCTGAATTCTTGTTATCACACCCAGCAGTTCCAATCCGACATCCCAACTCCTGGGCTGCCTCTGGTGGTGAGCCTCCTTCACTGCCCTTCCCCCCCAGCCCCCAGACTCCCCGTTCCTGTCACCATGCCCTGGACGTCCCAGGCTCGGGCTGGTCTTTGGCTATTGGGTACTGTGGCCCAGAGTCACCTTCCCAAGCACGGTGGAGGAAGGGGAGAAGGCCTCCTGCATTAGGGATGGTAGCCCCTCTTTGTGGCACCCCCCAGCCTCACCTGGCAGGGGGGGAGTACCTTACCTCTTCATGTGCTCGCTGGCCACTCCTTGGATGTACACAGACATTCCCACACTGAGACCACCCGGGATGGGCTGGTTGTAGGGCAGAGTCTGTGGAAGGGGACTGGTAAGCCTTTCCCCCTCACCGAGAAGCCCCCCACTCTCATTCGCAAGGGAGAGGACACCAGGGGTGAGGGGTCAGCGTGAAGGGGAAGAGGGCCAAGAGTCAGGGATGGACATAAGTAGCCCGAGGGTCAGGGTAGGAGCAAATCAAGCTTCAGGGCTGAATCAGACTCCAGGGTGGGGTGGGCGCCTCCAAGGATCACCCTCCAAGGGGTGAGAGTAAACTGGTGTGTGGGGGGGTCAGGGTGGCGCTAAGCCGGGACCCGTGGTTAGGTCCTGGGTCGCCGTCTTACCGGATTGTAAGTGGGCTGGTAGCCAGGTGCAGGGATATAGGCCATCTTGAGAGGCTGGGCTGGTGGCTTGTCCAGTGAGAAGAGATGCAAAGCAGGCAATGATGGCGGGCGGCAGGTGGTGGGTGGCTCTTATACCTGAGGAAAAGGGAGTGGCTGGCTAGGCAGGGTCCATGGGCTTCCTCTTCTGGGTATCCCAGGCTCACATCTTTTTCTAGGGCACCCCCTTGTGTCCCTTCTCTTGCTAGCCTCACTGGTCACCAGCCAGAACCCAGATCAGCTGGGCTAGGCCAGGGGTTGGGGTGAGGGGGGGGGACACACCCAGATCAGGCCGGGGTGGGGGGGGGGGGGGGGGGGGATACTTTAGGCCCTTCTGCAAAGAGGAAGTGCTAATGAACTTTGGGCCTGCCAGGGCCTTATCAGAGCCCATAAAAGCCTGCCCAGACCTTCGTTAGCAGAGGGAGGTTAAGACCAGGAGGGTTGGGCAGGGCAAGGCTGCAGGAGTGGCCCATGACAGATGGGCCACGGAAGGAAGTAAAAGCAGGGAGGAACGGGGTGCTCTGGACACCCCGAGGAACTAGGAAAGGACCTACATTTATTGCATGCCCACTACGTGCCCGACCCACGTACATTTGACTGTAGCTATGGTTTCAGTCATGATTTCTGGAGCCAGAGGTTCTGGGTTCAAATCTTGCCTCAGCCCCTTCCTGGCTGTTTTGTCTTGGCTCAGTGCCTTAACCTCAATTTCCCCATTTGCCCATCTGTAAGATGGGGATTTTAATAGTATAAACCTCATAGAAGCCTGGAAAGGAATCACTAAGATAATAAATGCTCAGAACAGGACTTGGAGTAGAGAAGGCACTAAATTCATCCTTGGCCTCTTGCACTCATTCCAAATATAAACCCAGGAGGTTGGGATTATATGTGGACATGAAAACGTGAAGTTTAAAGAAATGAGACAGGGGTACCTGGCTGGCTCCGTTGGTACAGCAGGTGACCCCTTAACCTCAGGGTGGTGAGTTCAAGCCCCACCTTGAGGATGAAGCCTACTTAAAATAAAAAATAAAATAAAATGAAGCAGTTGGCCCAAGATTGGGTAGCAATGGAACTCTAGCCAGACTGGGGCAGTGGGTGCCTGGCAGAGTGAACCGCCCTCAAGTCTGGAGCGGGCAGGGAGACCATCTGGAGCTTTCCAGCCCAGAGGAAGCCACATGACTTTTGCTTGCTCAAGCCCGCCAGACATTTTAGGGGCCCTGGCCCGCCCACCGCCAGCTCTGAATGGGCAGCGCCTGCTGGCTTCCGTTCCCATTGGTCAAATCTCCATCCCCAACCTTCTGCACAGCAGGCAGTCCTGGGAGCCCCCAGGGATGTCGTACCTCCTTTCTGCCTCTCCTTTCTTTCCAATAAAGACACCAGGTGCATTAAGTTGCTTTATTGTTTGGGTGAAGATAAGGCCCTGAGCATGAGGAAGTCAGGGTTATAAGGTTAGAAACGGGGGAGACCAAGGGAGAAAGCACCAGGCGACCATCTTTACTAATTCTCCTTCTCTATGGATGAGGAAATGGGCATGAGGTGGGGCAAGGCCAGGCCCTGGGCCTCAGCAGCTCTCAGAGCTTGGAGAAGGTGACGTTCTTCAGCTCCTGCTTGTCCATGGCAGCCTGGACAGACTTCACGATGTCCTGGGTTTGCAGCATGCTCATGTTCCAGGTGGCCTGGACAAAGAGGGTGGAGTGTAATGGCAGGGGCGGGGAAAGATTGGAGTTGGGCCAATGAAAAACAGGGAAGAGACAGCAGCGCACCAATCAGAGGACAAGGCCTGCAGAGGGTTGCTGGGCCCTGACTGGCCGCTCTGGGACCAGAGAAGGGCTGTGATTGGCTGGCCGCAGAGCCTTACCATGTAGTTGAGGCCCTCAGCCACCGAATGGTTGCGGGAGTAAACCAGGTTGATCTTGGTGCTCTGCACTGCCACGGGGCTCTTGGAGGAAATCTCGGCCGCCAGGGTGAAGGCTGCATCAAGCATGCCCACCTTGTCTGGGAACACCCGGCTGCGGATGAAAGGAACCAGTCACTGGGGAGGGCGGGGAGGCGGCAGTCTGCGAGGGAGTCTCGCCCACGGAGGAGTAAGTGGCCAATCACAGTAGAAAGCAGAAAACCGCCCAGTGAAATGAACCAATCAGAGCAGGGCACTGGACTGCAGCCTGAAGAACTGACCACCCAGAGAAAGTAAGTACCCCTGCAATGGCGCGAGGATACACCCGGACCCAAAGGGCTCTGCCCAGGTTGCCCCTGAGCTCTTAACCCGCACAGGCCGCGGCTCCTACCTGACCAGCCCACTGCTCAGGGCCTCATCAGCCATCATTTTGCGGGAAGTGAAGGCCAGCTCGTTGACCAGGCTGCAAGAGGGCAGGGCGGATCAGGGGATTGCAGTCATCCTGGGCCCAGCAGATGCCCTGCGGTCCCCTCCCGGGCTCCTCCACCCACCTCTGGTTTCCGATAACTTTGGGCAGTCGCTGCAGCGTTCCCACATCAGCCGCCAAACCTACGTCCACCTCCTGGGAGGAGCCATCATGTCAGTACTTGGTTCCTTCAACCTAGAACACAGCTCACCTCCCAATTCCTCTGCCTTCCCAACTCGTCGAGGTTGGTCACATCTATCCGCAGAGGGAAGCCCTCAAACCCTGCCCATCTGACCCCCTCACTGCCACGGGGCTCTTGGTGGAAATCGCCGCCGCCAGGGTGAAGGCCTCATCAAGCATGCCCACCTTGTCTGGGAGCTCCCGGCTGCGGATGAAAGGATGGCCTCCATCCTGCCTCGGGCCCTCTCCAGCACTGATCCGAGCAGCAACCCCAGCCTCCTCACCCCCATACCTTTACTCACTCCAAACCCCACATGGATTGCAATGGCCTATCCTTGACTTCCCTCATGGCCAAAGTGTTACTTTTTTTTTTTTTTTTTTAAGATTTATTTATTTATTTGAGAGAGAAAGAGAGCAGGGGGAAGGGCAGAGGGAGAGGGAAAATCCCCAGCAGACTCCCCGCTGACCTCGGAGCCCAATGCGTGGAGCTCAATCTCATGACCCTGAGCCGAAATCAAGAGTTGGATGCTTAACCAACTGAGCCCCCCAGGGGCCCCCGAAGTGTTACTTTTTCAGGTTCAATTCTGACTAACTCTTCCACGAAGCCCTCCCTTCTCACTCTCACCCCCACCCCCTTAACCTGCTCTGTTGCCGCTCTGCCCCTGCCCTGCCACGTGTCGCCCACCTCTAAGCAGGATCCGAGGAAGCAGCTCAAGATGGCTCACCTTCACCTGGAAGAAAGCATCCTGGGCACAGTACCGGATGTCACAAGCAGTGATGAGGTCCACGCCTGCAAGGGGGAGGCCAGGGGCATCAAACTACCACAAGGACCGACCCCTCCTCCCAGGTGATGGGGTTGCGCCTCTGGGCAGGGTTTAACTAGCAACTGATCTGAGGCTGGAGGTCACTGGTTGAGGGAGGGAGGCAGCAGCAGCTAGAGTGCGTGCCCGGATGGGTGGTGGGTAGCTCAGACTCACCCGCACCAACGCAGGCCCCATGGACGGCGGCGATCACCGGCTTCGGACACTGCAAGGGAACAGGAAGGGTGGGGTCAGGGTTGGTCCAGGAGGGATGGACAGGGTGTGGGGAGGTGCCCCGCCAACCCCCCAAAGAACCTTCTCGATGACGCTGAAGGTCTCTTGGTATCTGCTGATGAGGCTACGGAGGTACCAGCTGATGCGGGCCACATCATCTCCACGGGGCTGAAGGATTTCTGAAGCGATGTCCGTAAGGTCAGCACCTGGTGGGGCGGCATGAGGAGGCTCATGTAGCCGCCCAGGCACCCCCTTCCCCTATCCCCCCCGCCACTGCCCCAACTAGAGGTCAGAACTCAGACTTAGCAGATTCAAACCCCCAAACCACCACAGTGGAAAAGCTGCTCATGCAAGATCTAGCGAGGGATTGCATATGGGGTGTGAAATAAATAAAAGCTAACATTTATAGGGTCATTACTCACTTTATCCTCACAATAAGCCTATGAGGTGGGTCCTCTTACTATCTCCATTTGACTGGGGGGTAAACTGAGGCACGTGACGTTTAAGTCACTTGCCCAAGGTCACACTAGCTTGTGAGTAGTGGCACTGGGATTTTAAGCCCACACCCATGCACTGGCTCCAGAGGTCATGCTTTTCACCATCATGCCAGGTGGTAGAAGAGACAAGGGTTTTGGCCTGAGTCAATGGTGGTAACACTTCCTCAGGAAGACTCGAGATGAAGCAATTTCTGTGGGCTCCAACTGCAAGACGATCCCAAATCTAGCCTTTCCTCCACTAATCACTCTCCCGGACGCCGCACTCTGGCTAAAACAGTTTACCCTGGTCTCCCTGCTCCCAGCCCTGCCCTGGCCGTTCCCCACACGCGGCCAAACGAACTCACGAGCACGTCAGGGCCTCCTCTCCCCTCCCACCTCACTTATTTGGAAGACAACACAAGGTATGTGCCAAGACCTCACCAGCCCTCCGGAACTCCATTTCCAGCCTGTTCCTTTGGGCACACAGGCCTCCAACAGCTGTATCAACACCACCACACAGTCCCTTCCTAGGGCCTTGTTTTTCTACCTACAACAGTCCCTCCTTCAGTGATGGTCAGAAGACTGATTCCAGGGGCGCCTGGGGGGCTCAGTCAGTTAAGGTCTGCCTTCGGCTCAGGTCATGATCCTGGGGTCCTGGGATCCAGTCCTGCATCGGGCTCCCTGCTCAGCGGGGAGTCTGCTTCTCCCTCTCCCTCTGCCCCTCCCCACCTGCTTGTGTTCACTCTCTCTGTCAAATAAATAAAATCTTAAAAAAAAAAAAAAAAAAGAAAGACTGGCTCCAACTTTCCGTTCAGGCCACAGATCAAAGGTCACCTCCTCTAAGAGCCCCATCACCCTCTACCTCCCTGTCTGTCTTACCTCAGTTCCTGCCCTCTCCTTATCACATAATTGTGTGCTTATCTCGTTTAGTGCCTGTCTCCCCCTCTAGGACGTGAGCTCCAGGAGTGGAGTTTCTTTCTGTCCACTACTGCATTCCCAGTGCCTCAACAGAGCCTAGTATGCAGCAGGTGCTCAATAAGTGGACAATACAGACAACACTGAGCTGCCCTTCAATGGGAAAACGGATGAATAAGTAAATACATTTTGTCTGGTGGTGACAAGGGCTGAAAGAAAATTACAGCAGGGACATGGAATGGAGTGTGTTAGGGTGTGTGCGTGCAGTGAGGGCTGTTGCGATATTAAATGGGGTGGTCAGCGGGCGCCTGGGTGGCTCAGTCAGTTAAACAACTGACTCCTGGTTTTAGCTCAGGTCATGATCTCAGGGCCATGAGATTCAGCCCTGCGTTGGGCTGGGTGCTGAGAGTGGAATCTGCTTGGGACTCTCTCTCCCTCTGCCCCTCCCTCTTGCTCTCTCTCTAAAATAAAGAAATAAATCTTAAAAAAAATAATAACAAATGGGGTGGTCAGGGACCCTCTCACTGAAGTCACTGAAAAAGTGACTTTTTTTAGAGAGAGTGCTTGCATGAGCAGGGGTGGGGGGTGGGATGGGAGAGGTGGAGGGGCAGAGGGAGAGGGAGAGAATCTTAAGCAGGCTCCATACTTAGCAGGAGCCATCTCACAACCCTGAGATCATGACCTGAGACAAATTAGAGTCGGATGCTTAACCAACTGAGCCACTCAGGCGCTCCTGAAAAAGTGACTTTTGTGTAAAGATCTGAAGAAGACGAGGGAGGGAGCTATAGGGATGCCTGAGATCAGAGAGCTCCAAATGTCAGGAAGAGCCGGTGCAAAGGCCCTGTGGTAGGAATGCCCCTGATCTGTGTGAGGAACATGGAGAACGCGGGGATCTAAGGTGACAGGGCAGACTGTGCGGGCCTCACGGGCCAGGGGGCAGACTTTGGCTTTTAGTCTGAGGGAGACCTTGCTATGAGGCGGTTCTGAGCAGAATCATCCCTCACT